ACCTGCCATCCCACAGGGATTCTCTGCAGGGAGGGGAAGGCAGCAGTGGTGGCCAGGAGGGGTGGAGGGGATGGCTCTTGAGCCACTTCAGGGCCGTCTGGTTCCTCTCATCCATGGGGGCAGCCCATGAGCCAAATTCCCCCAGCAGCTGCTGTTCCTGATGTGAAGCATCAGCAGCAGTTTCAGGCCATGACCTCAGTTCTCATGCTTGGGGGACAGTCTTGGTGAGCCCCTTCCCCACTGCAGCAGCCCCCTTGGGCAAAGCTATCAGAGGCTGGATGTAAATCCATCAAGTACCAGCTCATAATTAATTAATTTGTATGTTTTGACTCCTTCCCTTCATAGCTCCCGATTAAAAGCTTATTTAAGGGGTCACAGACTTCTTCAGTTCCAGAGGGATTAAATGTGGGAACAACTGTAGGTTGTATGTGGGTAATTGCAATGAGGAAATGCTCCAAATTAAAGCTTCCTGCTGGGTCTGTCCAGTGGGAAAACCAAACAATTCTTTCAGAATGACTTTTACAATCGGCATCATACAGAAATACGTGTATTTTTTCCGTCGTGCTGCTGTGTCTGGAGGACACAAGCGGCAGAATGTGCTCAGAAAAAGACACACAAGCGTAACTAAAGCAGAAGAATCCAGCAGAAAACGAGCCAGCGTGCTCTGGAGTTGGTTTTGAACCTCAGGCTCAGTAATTGCTTGTGAAAGCACAAAGCCATCGACACCGAGCCCTGTCCCTGTGTGGTGTGGGACGGAGCCGCGTGGGAAAGGCGGCATTTGGGAAAGGCAGCGTTTGGGAAAGGCGGCATTTACCCGGCTGCTGGAATTATTTTTCATTCCTCGGGTAGGAAGTTTAACCCATCCCTGCCTCGGGGAGAGCTGGCAGAAGGACAAACGCTGCTGGGTCTCTGCGCTTCCTGCAAAGGCAAAACTTGTCTGCTTTTCTTCAAAGTTCGTGTGTTAAAGTCCCGTTTGGGGGGTTGCAGGGAGCTGGAGCAGCGCCAGCAGCTCTGCTCTCACACTGTGACGAGATGTGGTTTTCCTCCCTAGCATGAGATTGGGGTTGTGCTTCTCGCTGAGCGATGGGAAAGGTGCTGGCACTGCTCTGTGATGGGAGTCCCTGCTGAGAGCCCCCAGCAGAGCCCCCAGGTCCCAGGGGATGCCTCCACTTCCCAGGATTTTCTTTCCCAGCCCTGGAAGAGTTTTGCAGCCCTGAACCCCTCGGCCTTTGCAAGCATGAGGTTGTTGCAAGTTCAGTGTGGAGACTGAGGGATTTGTCCCTGCTGCCAGCCTGGAGGGGCAGCAATCCAGGATGCCCGAGGGGAATGCCAATGCAGGAGCTCAGGACAGGCTCGGGACGGGCACTGTGCCCATCACTGAGCCACATTCCACGAGTACCCTGCCCAAAATCACAGAACTACAGCCTGGTTTGGGGTGGGAGGGACCTTAAATCCCTTAAATATTTTTCCACGCCTTGCCATGAGCAGGGACACCTTCCACTATCCCAGGTTGCTCCAAGCCCCATCCAACCTGACCTTGGCCACTTCCAAGGATCCAGGGGCAGTCACAGGGGCTTCTCTGGGCGCTCTGTTCCGCGTGTCTGCTTTGCCATCTGCCAGCTGGAAGTTTGGATGGATAACCCCAGAGCCAAGGGCTGGAGAGTTTGATAAGGAGGGTGGCACTGTCCCCACCCTGGGGACACCAGGGACACCCCCTCTGTCCATCCAGCATCTCCCGGGGCTGCGGATGGATGGACGCGGCGAGAGGGGCAGGAGCTGCAGGGACAAGGACGAGGGGCTGTGCCTGCTGCACACGTGGGAATGTGGCTCCTCCGGGAGGATTTGGGGACACCGAGCCCTTCTGCAGCTCCCCCCCGGCTGCGAGTGGCGGCTGCCGGCTGCGTTTCCCCGGGAGAGGCGCTCCTGGAATCGCTAATGCTCCAGCCCGGAGGTGCAGCACGCTGCAGCTGCAGCATCAGGTACAGCAGCACCGCCGCCGTTAATTATTGACTCTAATTATCAGCCCTGATAAGGGAGCACCCCCTCGACAGCCCGGGCAGCGCTTGGTGCTCTGTGTTTTCTGGGAAAGATAACTATTCCGCGGAAAAGTAACTCGTTTTGTGCACCGGGATTGAACTGTCCTCGCAAAGGTCACCCGAGAGCCACGGGCTGCTCTGCTGGAAAATCAATCCCTCTTTTGTGCTTCTTGGTTTAAACTTGTATTTGCTTTCTGAGCAAGGTCACAGCTCAGCTGACCAACTTTGTGGCTGCTGGAGCAGGCTGGGGTCCAGCCACGCCGCGTCCGCTGCTCCGAACCCTTCGCTGCCGGCTCCGGGCAGGGCAGAAGATGCTTTGGAGGGAGGCAAGAGCTGCTGCTCCCCAGGGGGGTTTGTAGGTGCCAGCCTGAGCAGGTAACACCACAAAATGCTTTGCTAACCAGTTTTTCCTTTCACCACGAGGTGCTGGAGCCGCTGCTGCAGTGCAGGAGAGCAGGCAGGCAGAGCTCAAATCATGTTGTGTTACAGCTAACGAGAGTGTGCTAACGTGCTGGGGGTTTATCTTGTTATTTATAGGCTCAGGGTTAACTGTTCCCCGGTTAAAATTACTGGCAGGACACTCTGGGAGAATGGATTTTGTGGATATTTGTGGTAATGTGGTTAATTTGTAATTTAAATGTTTGGGGGTGTCACGGTGCTCTCCTTTCTGCTGGCTGGGGTGGATGGGGGAGCTGCTCACATTGCCTGGCAAGTGGGATGGAGTGAAAGAGGGGTTAAATGTGAGTGTAAAGAGCCAGTGTTTGAGTCCAGGCTGGTTAAAAAGACAGTACATTGTCCCTGCAAGCGGGCTGCCCCAGGGAATAAAACCACTTTGCTCTGTGCTGTTGCCTTCTCACATATTTGGCTTCTCTGTTTCCATTTCTGTATGTATTTATTCCTGCCTTGAGAAGAGCAGCCTAATTCCAATCTGGATTAATCCTCCCCACAGCCTCTCTGTGTGGCAAAGGTAAAAATCAGCGATGCGTGGGGAGAAGAAGAAATGTTCTTCAATTTTAATTTACCAGAGAAAAGTCAGCAAATATAGAACCTGATAGAGGGTCAGGCTAACAGGTTTTAGCAGGATGGAGATGCACCTAAAACTGTAATCCTGCCTCAAATTACGGGCTGGACCCTGGGTGTAGGGGTCTGCTGCTTCTGGCAGATGACTTCATATTTTAATCTCATTTTTCTTAGGGACAGGCATGGGAGAGCAGCTGTGGGGTCCAAAGAGGCACATTTTTGGCTCTAAGCCATCTTCTCCATGCCTGAGCTGCCCCGGAGGGGACAGGAGAACATCAACAAGCTGGCTGGGTACACTCAGCATCCTTTTACGAGGCGATTTTGAAGTAGATTGGTCAAAGGAGAGTAGTCCTAGTATCAATTTGGGCTGCAGAGCTGGGACCCGGCCAGCTCATAAATGATCCAAATAGATGTAATTATCTAGATATTAAAAACCATCCTATTCACTGGCTTTTCCCTCCCACTTGTGAATAAAGGACCTAGAAGAGTGTGGAGTGTAGCTGGTCAGGCTGGAATTGGCTGCAGTCGGAAAATTAGGGGAAAGAAACAACATTTGAGAAAGAGGCTGGTGTTTGTTTTGGCACGTGCTGTTCATTGGCAGGAGGAGACAGAAGGAGTTGCCCTTTGTAGAAGGAGTGTGGTTCACTGCAGAGCACATCAGGAGCTTTCCAGGAGCTCACAAGGTGCTGGGTGGGCATCAACGTGACCCTGCTGGGGCTTTGGAGAGCCCTGTTGTCCTCCTTGGGACCTTCCTGGCTTTCCACCAAGGCTGTACATTGACCATAAACATGCCCACGTGATTGACAACTAATTGTTTCTTTAAAAGGTTTTGATCTTTGTTACAGAATCATAGAATGGCTTGGGTTGGAAGGGACCTTGAAGATTAATTACCTCATTCCATGGGCAGGGACACCTTCCACTGGACCAGGCTGCTCAGAGCCCTGTCCAAGCTGGCCTTGGACACTTCCAGAGATGTGGCAATGTCCTGTGGTAACAATACAGCAGGATTTGACTTCATTTTTTAGCTGGTCTTTGGTAAGGGTCATCTGGAGCCCCTTTGTGGGGATCTGGAGCTGTGGTCAAGTGCTAAAGCCCTCGCTGAGGCAAAGCTCTGCAGGCAGAAGATGAGTTCAGACTCCAGAGGTTTGGTCCATGAGATGGGTGTGAGCTGGGGCTGGCTCAGCACAGGCTTTGCCCTGAGGTTGTTGCATAGGTCAGGGATGCACTGGAGGAACAGGGATGGGCTTCTGAGCAGCTGTGGGACTGCCTCTGGCCAGGAACCAAACTAGATTCTGCAAGGAGAATCATAAACAACCAACCTACTGTTCAGGACACTCCCACTTCATCCTCTGTAGCAGAAATTAAAACCAGACCTTCTCACTTGGAGCATTGTTGTCCTCACCCAAGCCAGGGAGCCTCCTACTGTGATGTCCAACTGCTCCTTCACCCTTCCCTGCCTCCTCCCTGTGCCTTTCTAAAGGATCTGGAGGAGAGAAGTGTCACCCAAGACCTTTCTTGGTTGCTCCCAGCCTTAATTTCTCATGCTCTAGGAGTGTCTCATCCATGCCCATATGATGGGAAGGAGCTGGAGGGTAACACAGCCCAGAAATGATGTGAAGATCTCAGTGTTGGCTGTGGCAGATCTCCACCTGAAGTTGTTCCCTGAGCTGAAAGCAGTTTATCTGTGGTTCAGTGCAATTTGGTGAAAGTTCTTTTTAACAGTAGGGATGTGCTCTGAAGCTCTGAATGGCTGTCATTTGAAGAAGATTCAACATAAATTTTGAATCTTTGCTTGTTATGGATTAATTTAAAAAAAAAGGCAAACCAGTGATTTCTGTGTGTAGTTTATATCCCTGTTGTCAGGGATCTTTTATCATGTTGGATTTCTCCAGCTCACAGGAGTCAGTGGAGAGTCCCTGTGCCATCGATCTCAAGGCATCCCAAATGTCTGTCTGTCTGTCCTTGCTGGCAGATAAACCCTCTGTAATGCAGGGGATGTTTTACAAGGCCCAGCTCCCTGGGATGTGTCTGTCAAGCACAAGTTGTTGCCTCTGGAAAAGGAGTTATTGATTTTAGCAGCTTCAAAGCCCGTGGACACCACTGGGCTGGATGGGAAGTGGGAGGGGGGTGGCTTTTGAAGGCTTGTAAGGCTTTAAGGAGAGATGAAGTTCACATGGCTGAATGTGTTATTTTACTAAATTAAAAGTATTTCTTCTTTTCAAGGGTGAAGTGACTCCTCAGCCCTTGTCAGAAGATGCTTAAGTGACAGCCCAGTTAGACCCCACCATGGAGAAGACAGAAGGTATGGAGCCCACAGGGTATTTATTTCTTCATTTATTCCTTGAAAAAAAAAACCCAACCAAGCATTTACCAGAAATGCTGTAAATAACCTGTTCTCTGTCGATGTGAGGCCAAGAGATGAAAAATGCATCGTTCCTTATTATGCAGAATTCTTAGAAACCGCAGCAAAGCAGGTCCCAGCTCTAGATCAGCACATATTTGTCCTCCTAGGTTTTGTGACAGATCCCTGCTCCCACCCTCCAGCTGTGCTCCTGTGCCCTGGGATGACCCCAGTGGTGTCTTCCCTTCACATGCTGCTTCCCACCCACCTCAGCGTCTCTGTGATGAGCAGCACCAAAATCTGTTCCAAATTGTCCTGGTCCTCTCCAGCTGCTGCACCAGGATGGAGACAAAGGAGTCAGCCATGGTGCCTCCTCCTCCTCCTCCTCACTGAGCTGCTCAGGGGTGCAGAGCAGCCCAAACCACTGTGATTTCACGGACTTGCTGCATAAATGAAATGATCCGTGGTGCAGAGGTTTAACTGTTACCCCTCAAGCTGGAAATTTGGGGGCTTGCAGGCTGGAGATGGCTGTGTTAAACAGTGTTGAAGTGGGAGGCTCTGGTGGAGAGCTGCTGTTTGCTGTGCTGGCTGGGTGGGCAAGCACTCCGACGCCCATTTAGTGGTGATTTGCCTCAATTAGGAGCCGTGCCGGGAGCTGAGCCGGTCACCTTGGCATGCACGTGTTCTGCATGGCTGCGGCTCTGAGCTGTCTGGGTCCAGCCTCTGCCCGGATCCAGCATTTTCAAGGAATTATTTGTGACCTGGTGGTTGCAGGCGAAGCAAGGCAATGATTTTCCTGCTTGGCGTGCACTGTTTATGCCACTGAAAATTTCAGACTAAACCAAAAGCCTTGAAAAGTGTCACTGTCGTAGATTGATCCCACATTCTATTATTGAGCTGGATTTATTATCCATCAGGCAGCCCTCTGTACCTACACAGACACGTAGCTCTGTCTGCAAAACCTGCTGTTTGCTTAATTGCCAATTAGAGCCATGATTTCAGGAAATTTTTGGCTTCCTTAGTGCAACAATTACCTGATGCACCTCTGGAAAACCAGATCAGAGCTTGATGCGTGTCACTGTGTCTCTGCACAGCTTCACCACGACCCTCCACCAAAATGAGCTGCAGCCCCTGCCTGCCCAAAACTGAGATGAAAAGAGAAAAAACAGCTCTAATTTTTTTTTGTCTTCCAAAATTCAATCATTTCTTCTCTTTTGGGGGGTTGTTTCAGCAGATGGCCAGCCACTCAAACCCGACGGGGACAGGGAGCAGCCCCGCAGCCTCCCCTACTCCCTGGAGACACCCTACGGCTTCCACTTGGACCTGGACTTCCTGAAGTACGTGGATGACATCGAGAAAGGCAACACCATCAGGAGGGTCCACATCCAGCGCCGAGCCAAGCAGCCCAAATTCAGCACCCTGCCCCGAAACTTCAGCCTGCCCGAGAGCGGCTCCCGCGCCTGCCCCACCGCCGCTCCCAGCAAGAGCTGGACCTCGACCTGCTCCTTCCCGCAGCGAAAAGCATCCCTGGGCGAGGAGCCCTCCCGAGCCCTGCTGCCCACCGAGGCAGCTCCCGAGGAGCCCAGCTACCGGAGGAGAGCGCTGCTGGCGGAGACACGGCGGCAGGCGGGGCTGGGATGGCCGCGGGATGCGGGGCTGGAGCGGCCGAGGGATGCGGGGCTGGGATGGCCGCAGGATGCGGGGCTGGAGCGGCCGAGGGATGCGGGGCTGGAGCGGCCGAGGGATGCGGGGCTGGACCGGCCGAGGGATGCGGGGCTGGAGCGGCCGAGGGATGCGGGGCTGGGATGGCCGCAGGATGCGCTGCGGGCGCGGCCGCAGCTGCTGCGAGCCTCCAGCCTGCCCGATGCGCTGCCCCCCGGTCAGACTCCCCCGGCCGGATCCTCGCCCCTCCGGACCCTCCCGCAGCACTGCCGAGACCAGGGCGGCTCTGAAAGCATCTCCGGCCGCAGCTCGGACAGCAGCGCCGTGACCCCGCCGCGGGAGATGGGCTCGGAGCAGGATGGATCCTTAGGGCATCCCGGCGGGATTGTGCCGGGGCCGGGCCCCGTGCAGCCCCCCTGGCTGAACCAGCAGCTGCAGGTGGTGATGGAGAGCAGGGGAGAGGAGGGCGATGCCGCCGATGCCGGATCCGAGGTGGCCAGGGCTGAAGCAGCAGCGCCGGCTGCCCTCCGGCTGGCAGAGGAGAACGGGAACCCTGCGGGAAGGGCGCTCAGTGTGAGTGAGATGGACCTGAACGTGCTGAAGGAAGGTGAGGAGAGGGATGTGCAGGCTGGAGGGGACAAGGAAAGCGCTGCTCCCCAGGTTCCTGTTGCTGGGGTCACAGCGCTGAAGCAGCAGATCGCTCACCTGGAGGAGCAGCTGGCCAAGAAGAAAGAGGAGCTCGAGCAGGTCAGGGCAGTGCTGGAGCAGCAGGACCGTGAGATCCAGGAGAAGGAGGAAAGCATCAAGCTGCTGGCCAGCTCCAAAACTCAGCTGGAAGAGCAGCTGTGCCAGGAGAAGCTCAAAGAGGCTGAGCTGCGGGGCAGTGGGGCCGTGCAGTGCCGGGATGCTGCAGTGAACACGGAGCTGTCACAGCTGGCAGGGCTCAGGCAGGCCCAGGACAAAGCCATCAATGTCAATATCCCCCCTCCCAGCAGATCCATCGGCTGCGGCGTGCCCAGGGCAGACAGCAGCGCCCGGGGCAGGGAGGTGGGTGTGTGCAGGGAGCAGGGACTGGCTCCAGCACGGGGACATCCTGGTGAAGCCAGCGTGGAAGCCGGGATTCCTGCTCCGTGCTTCACCCAGCTGCACATCCACGAGCACCCCGGCGACGACAACCAGAACCACCAGAACTCCCTCGGCCCAAACGCAGCCGAAAGCAAGGCAGGCTTTGGAGAAGAGGAACCTCAGGAAGGTGCCCCTGGGCAGGAGGAGCTCCCAGCTGTCGACCCCATCGGCCAATACGTGAAAAAGATCCAGGAGCTGCTGCAGGAGCAGTGGCTGTGTTTGGAGCACGGGTACCCCGAGCTGGCCAGCGCTATCAAGCAGCCAGCCTCCAAGCTCAGCTCCATCCAGAACCAATTAGTTAATTCCCTCAACTCCCTGCTCTCTGCCTACTCCTCACAAGGGCCTGTGGATAAGGAGAATTCCAACACGCACTATCAGCAGCTGGGTAAATAATATTGGCGTGGCTTCCATGTGTCTGGGCCAAATCTTTTCCCATTTATTCCAGCGTGGAGCAGGGGGGATGTGGTGGAAGAGTTGTCAGTCAGATCAGGAATAGTCTAGACAAGCATGATGAGAAAGGCAAATCTCTGCACATCACAAGTTATAAATCTGACATGAAAAACAGCAAAGAAAATGATGTAGGAGCTCATAAAGCAGTGGCTCATTTATATGCAGGATCAGCTTCTAAAAACTGCCACACTAGTGGTTGTTCCATCAAATAAACATTATTTTTATTCAGATTGGACATCTCAGTTTGCAAGAATATGAGGCTGGTGCTTATCTGGGGTAAATCAGTGTGGAGTTCTCCAGAGCCTGAACCAGTCAAACTAACTGAGCAACCAGGCTGAGAAAAGACCTGTCCCCACTCACAGACCTTCATCTAAAATAATTCTAGTTTATATGAAGATGAGAATCCAATGCCTGTTCACTGGAGGAGGGAGGGAAGGGAGTTGCAAATAGATAAGTGACTTATTCCTTAATATATAGACACTATTCAAAGTCCAATGGAAAAACTCATCCACATAATATTATAGCAGATTTATATAGGAATTTTCCAATACATTACTACTGGGAAAAAAAATTCCCAAAAAACCAAAACATTATTACAGAAGTAAAATCTACTTATATTCATAGGACAAATACATAATTCCCAGTCACTTCCTTTATATTCCCAGTCACCTGGAGATGTTTGAGACCTGTATTAAAGGTGGCAGGGCAGGTTCAGATTGTGGCCAGCTGCATCTGTAGTTTTGCAAGACATCCAAAGACTCTCATAAGATGAAGTAAGACGCTTAAAATTATGGTTTGTAGCTTGTTGCTAGAGGTTGGGAATAATTCTTGCTAATTATGGCACATCTGCTTAATTAATCTATTATTTTGTATTTTGGTAGAAAACTCTCCAACCACAAGTCTTAAATCCATCATGAAAAAGAAAGGTTATGGTTTCCATGCAGGAGGCAATGGGACCAAAAAGAATCTCCAGTTTGTTGGGGTAAATGGTGGGTAAGCATCCATTCAGAAGATAAAAACTGCCTTTTAACGTGGAATGTCCTCTGTATCACTGGAGAAGTCATTCTTCCTCACCCTCTTTTCCCCTCCAAACCTCCTGATTAAAAGGCCAGTTGAAATAGAGCCTCTTTTCTCCCTTCTTTAATCCTGATAACCTGTGAGTAACCCCCTTGAGGAAAGGTGTGTTCAGAGCAGTGGGGACTGACACTCTCTGCACACCCTTCTCCTGGGGCTTCATCCAAAACCCAGCTGGGGAAGGTGGGAAGATTCCTTGGGAGGATTCCCTGGGAAGATTCCCACTGAGAAGGTGGGAAGATTCCTTGGGAAGATTCCCTGGGAAGATTCCCACTGACCTTGGTGGGTTTTGGAGGAGGCCAGCACAGGAGGCTGCCACTAACCTGCCCCCACGCTCCAGCAAAGCCTACAGCAGTTGGTTCAGGGCCTGGGAAATGACTTTTTTGGTAAATAAGGAATGACCTTGGGGTGAAGGAGACTTCAGGTTGTGCTCCCCATTCCTCCAACACTCCCCAGCCTGTGAGCTAAGCAGATTGAGCATCTCCTGCTGGCATGAGGAGGGCAGGACACGTGTCAGTGTCCCTGGGCTGGGCAGACAGCTGTGTGTGCCACCCTGGCTGCTGCTTTCTGCTCACCTCCTGCTCCTCTGACTGCCCACTTGCTGGAGTTCCTCACTCCAGTTGTGTACAGCTGCTTCTACCAAATGGGGACAACTTGTAGGGACTGGAGGAGTCTTGATTGCTCTGAGGAAAGTTCTGGGGTCCATCAGAGTGAAACGCTGTGTTTTGTGGAAGATACTATTACTATGGATGCTTTTAGCCAGCCAGAGGAGAGATCTCTGTCAGGGCTGCTGGAATGGTGGATTCAGCCCGTGCAAACCCAGCTTTTGTTTCCTGCTCCTCGAGGTTGCCGATGCCACCGGTCCCTCCTTGCCACAGGGCTGCTGTCACCCTCCCTGCCACCGTGCCAGCAGCTCCCAGCAGGGAGGCAGCTCTCAGCCCCTGCCTGGGCTGTGTGTGATGGACATCCCTCCAAACCCTGAAGTAACCTTGCCTGCTGCTCATTAACTGCTTCTGTCACACTCCTGCTGCTTAAGGAGCCAAACCAAGACTAACCCCGACTTCGGCTGTGGCTCGGACCTTTTAACTTGCTGCTTGTCACCCTGGGCATTCCCCCAAGGCCCATTGGAGTCAATGAGCCTTGGTCAGACCCCGTGGCTGGGGAAGGAGGGAGTAACATGTGGTGTCCTCAAATAGCTACGAGACAACATCAAGTGAAGACACGAGCGGTGAGGACAGCGCGTCAGACAGCGACACCGAGACTGAGGGCAGAGCTGGGGACGAGGAGCCCGAGCAGGCTGGAAGGGAGAGCAAAGAGGCTTCCTCGGGGGAGAAAAGTGAGGATGATGATGGTGATGAGCAGGAGGCATCAGCAGGAGCAGCACCCTGCTCTCAGCACCAGGCTCACAGGTAACCGGGTGGCGGCAGGGCTGGGTCAGGGCTGCTTCTGCTTCCTGAGCTCTGCAGGCAAGGGAAAAGGCTTTAAAGGGATAAATATTTTCTGAGTTACTACAGAATCTAATGGGGATTCATTCAGGCCCTACACTCGACACTGAGTCATGTCTGGTGAGTTAGCTCATTTCTCCCCTCTCACGGAAAGTTTTTTGGTAAAGTTCTTTGCAGGTTCAGGAAGATTTTTTTTCCCCACCTTAAGGATTTTTGTGATGAAGTTGACCACACAAATCTTTGACTCTGGGCTTAAACGTTTGCTTAAGTGCTTAGCTTTGTACCTAAAATCTGTGTCAAGTCAACGGGACAACTTGTGTCCAATAATTTAAACACTTAAATGTGTTGAACATATTCTAACCTAATCTGCCCGTGTTCTCCTGCTTGGTTCAATACCTCCTGCTATCCTGTCCCATGGTGGATTTACAAAAGTCTTTTCCCTTTTAGATGCAAACCCTCCGAAGATTTCCTTGCTGCCTGCCAGCTCCTCAGTGAGCACCTCCCAGAAATCAGGAGCACAAGCAACAAACATCTGGTACGGATATTTCCCAATCCCGTTTCAGACACGGTTCATGCTCCCTGTTCACTTTAATGGAGATTATCCCAATGGCACATTGCACTGTGCCCTGGACAGCTTTGTGAGGGGAGAGGGGTGAGGTGACATCTGAGTCACTTTTAGAACAGCCGAAAAGAAAGGAAGAGAGGGGGGAAAAAAAAAAAATGAAGGCTTTGTCTGGTTACTCATCCAAGTTACCACAGGAAATTCCTTTCCCCCTCAAGCTGTAGCAGCAATCACAAACCCACAAGCTAAGAGCTGGCTGGGGCCAGGAGCTGGGGCAGGCATGGCTCTGCAGGGACAGTCACGGTGACACCTTGGTGTTTGCAGCAGCACATGCTCGGCCCCATCTCCCAGGAGTGGTTCCAGGTGTCCAGCCACAAGACTTCCAGCCCAGAGGTGGTGGCAGAATACCTGGAGGTGCTGGGGGACATCCAGCCCCAGCTGCTGGAGGCCGTGGTGAACCTGCCTGACAGGAATGGCAACACTGCCCTGCACTACAGCGTCTCCCACTCCAACTTCCCGGTGGCAAAGCTCCTGCTGGACACAGGTGGGAATGGCCACTCTGCCCAGCCAGGGCTCTTGTGGGGCAGGGGGTGGGGATGGCTCTTGCCAAGGGGTCGTGGTCCCATCAGTGATGGCTGCACAGGGAACAGGGGGATGTGGGCAGTGCTGGACACGGCAAACATTGAAAGGGGTCCAGGATCCCCCCAGTCAGGAGGAAAGGAGGTGGGACAGAAATGGGGCTGAGCACCAACAGCCACCCACCTGCCAGGGCCCCATCCAGGTGACAGACATGGAGACAAAGTCCATCCAGGAGAAAACAGAGGCCCAAGGTCCATCCAAAACACAAGGATGGGGCTGAGATCCATCCAGGAGATCTGGCTGACCTCAAGACCAGCATCCTCCCCATAGCCCAGCTCTGGGCCCATGGATGTAGTCAGGGGTCCCAGCTGAGGCTCTCATCAGTGCCCTCACACATCTGGAGGGCTTTGCAGCCTGACTTTGGGGATGGCTCAGGGTTGCTGTGTCCAAAGGGATGTCCCTCATGGCCCCAGTCCAGGTGGGATGGGGTGGTTCCCCAGCTTCTTGCAGCAGCCAAAGCCACATCATGGCTTGGGGCAGGAGGACCAGATCCCTGAGAGCATAAGAAACCCCCCAGCACTGCAGAAAAAATCCCATGGTAAACTATTGAACTTTCAGCTTGTGTTGCAATGAAAGAACAAAAATCTCAGCTGAGCTTGTACAGGGCAAAAATGTGCTCGTGCTCTGAGAGAACAGAGGCACTTTGGCCTTTTCTCATGGGCCAGACAATCCACGAAATGTTTGGGAAATGGCAGATTATCATACACATCTATAACCCGATTGTTGCTGCAGGGAGAGAAGGGTTTGAGGCAGCTCCGGGCGAGGCTGGACCCGAGCCCTCACCCTCAGACACGGCTCATTCCTCGTGGTGGAGCTGGAAATGGGCTCTTTGAAGTGAAAAATGAGTGAAACGGGGCCAGGATGTTTTCCACGCCCGGTGGGTGATGGGCGGTGTCTCTCTGCTGCTCCCTTGCCACGGGAGCCAAAGCAAACAGCCCACAGCTCCAACCAGCATGTGCTTGAGGCATTAATTATCCCCCTTTAATTTCTATTTGTTGTGGTCTTCAAAGTTAATCGAGTTGACCTCAACAGTTGTAATTAACTGTAGCACCAGGGGCTGTTTAATGCTGCGCTCACAAGCCTGGATATTTAAAACAGATAAATCCCCGTCCCGTATCATTATGGAATAACTCCTTTTCCTGGGAATATAAGGTTGTGTGACTCCTTCTTTCCTTTCTGTTCCCTCTGGGTGATCCCCCATGGGCTGCATCCGTCCCCTGCTCTGCAGGTATGTGCTGCCTGGACCTGCAGAACCGTGCTGGCTACACGGCCGTGATGCTCACACCTCTGGCGGTCCCTGAAACCCGCCAGGACATGGAGGTGGTGATGAGGCTGCTGAAGGAGGGGGATGTCAACCTGAGAGCTGCCCAGGTGTGTGCCAGGACACAGCTGGGGGGATAATTCCGGGTGCTTACCTCCCATGGCAGCAGGGATGGGGTCGGAGGTGCTGCTTCCCAAATGTTCCAAAAGCCACCTCAGCTGGGCTGCAGTGTGGGCACCCAGCAGCTCCAGGGGAAGGGCTGTGACAGCTGCGGGAAATGGAGAAACTGAAAAAGGCAGAAAATTTTGCCAGCAAGTTTTCCTGAGGTAAAAATCAGAAGTGGCACCAGGGAGGAGGAGCGAGGGGTGAACCCCAGGGCATGGGAGCCCCAGGTTGGCTGCTGAGCCTCATCAGTCACACATTTTGGTTCAGGGATGAGGGTGCCCTCATCCATCTCTGCTCCCAAACTGCTGTAAAAGTTAATTCAGACCTGAATTGAACTGCCCAGGAGGATTTGGGGAACCCACATTAGGGGGCAGCTGGGCAGTTTGGCCGTGCTGCTGCAAGGACCTTCCACGAGTGAATAAATCACACTGGGGCTGCTGAGGAGCCCCAGTGTGACTTAATAATAACATGCAATAAGATGCAATATTAATAGGAATTATTATCATGTATGTACCATGCAATAATAACAATATGCAACGTTGTGCAATGTGGTTTTGGGACATGGGTTAGTGCTGGGTAAATGGTTGGACTCGGTGATCTTGGAGAGTTTTGCCAATCTAAATTAGTCAATTATTCAATTATTTAATTATTCAATTATTCTAGACATGTTTTTATATTATAATTATTAATATTATTATTACTATTACTACTATTACTATTACTACTATTACTATTATTATTACTATTATTACTACTATTATTACTGTTTTTATTATTATTACTGTTATTATTATTATTACTACTACCACCATTATTACTACTACTACTACTATTATTATTATTATTATTATTATTATTATCATCATTACTATTATTACTATTATTATTATTATTATCATTAGTGTTATTACTGTTATTATACTGTTGTCCCTGGCAGCCTGAGAGGCCAGGGCAGTGGCAGGAGGTGGCAGGGGGTGCTCAGCCTGTGCTGTGACCCTGCAGGGAGGCCAGACCGCCCTGATGCTGGGGGTGAGCCACGACAGGGATGACATGGTGAGAGCCCTGCTGTCCTGCCAGGCCGATGTCAACCTGCAGGACGAGGAGGGGACCACGGCCCTGATGGTGGCCTGTCGCCAGGGCAACGCTGACATCGTCAGGCTGCTGCTGGCCCAGCCTGGCTGCCAGGTCACGCTGACTGACAAGGTGAGGCTGCACAGCATCACTGCACCGGGGTAAAGAGGGGGGGAAAACTCAGCTGGGAGCTTGTGGCAGCAATCCCTGATGGTTGTGAGATGCTCCCTGGAACAGAGTTAAAGGAATAAATTTGGGATTTATGAAAAACCCTTCGAAGGATTCACCTTGGGCAGTGCAAGAGCCCAGCCAGGGCTACACCCAAGATGGACCCAAGTCAGGAGTTCTCACACTTCGATCAGCTTTGGACCATTCCCATGTTAGGGTTCATTGTCCAATCCCAGCTCCAGGTTCTGCAGTCCCATCCTCCCAGATTCTCTCCTCCATTCTCTGCTGTTTGCACTTTTTGGGGCTGAAGCTGCAGCTGTCCTTGGTTGTGGGGCTGGAAAAGGATTGTTCTGTGTGCCTGAGCTGGGAGGAGAACTTGTAACACTTGATATGAAATTCAGAGTTACACACCAATGCAATGCAGAATCTGGAAAGTATGAAAGCTAAAACTGAAGGCATCCCCAAGGGGTGGGTTTTAACAGAAGTGTGATTTCAGTCCATTTTCTAATCAGGGCATTGCTTTTAGGAGGGTACCCCTGGTTTTGGTGCTGCTGTGCCATGGATGGGGTGGCTGTGACAGCATCCCAGCCACAGGGATGGAGCATTGGTGTAAACCTAAAAAAAAACCCAGATGAAATCCTGGCCATGTGGAATCAGCAGAGCTTCAGCTCCAAGAAATCAGCAGCAATTCACTCCTTCCTGAGAACAGAGGCTTTCCATGGGGATGTGTGGGATGGGGCTGGGCTGGGAGCGGGTGGAAATTCCTCCTGCTGGGCCACAGGGCTGTGCTTGGAATGGTGGAACTATTTTGTAATTAAGCTGTAATTTAATCTGAGGCACACAGGAGGGCACTGGGGCTGAGCAGAGGCACAGCTGGGCTGAGTTTGGTGTGGTGGAGGCCCAGAGGGAGCTTTGGGATGGTGACTCAGGGATGGAGGGAAGGTTTGGGGATGCAGCAGGGGTTCACTGGGGGGGTGATGTCTCACCTGCCGTGTCCTGCAGGGAGGGAACTCGGCGCTGTCGCTGGCCCACGGGGACATTGCTGCACTCCTGCGAGCCCACGTGGAGCTCAGCCCGTCCCTGTCGGTGTGAGCAGCCAGGAGGAGCCAGGATGGGGAGCTGGGAGCCAACAGCTCCTCCCTGAGCAGCCCCACTGTTCAGGATCCAGAGGGGCCACAGGGCAGGAACCCCCTGTGCCATCTGAGTGATGCTCCCTGTCTCCAATTCTCCTCATTCATCCCACTCACACCCCTAATCTGTGCCTCAAACAACTCCAGACTCTCCCACCCCGGGGTAGATTTGGCAGGTGAGCAACCAAAACGAATGAGAAAAGCACATTAGAAGAGCAATACTTAATCTTTTGTAACATGAGGTTATGGGTGTCCTTTTAATCGACTACTTAACTGTATCTCATTTAACTTGTACGTTTGTGTCCTAATATTTATTATCAGCTCTTCTGTGAGTAGTGGCAGGCAGCGATTACTCAGTGTATGTAACAACAAACACAAGCTGGATGGATTGTGGAAAGCATAAAATCCTATTTCTGTTTGCTTATGCGGGTCTGATGTAAGAATTAAAAATTAATGCTCTAGGAAAATATTTGAGTATGCCAGACCCAAACACGCAGACATTGTTTTGCCTGGATTTGGAATTACCATATGGCTGTTATTTTCCCCTAATTAAGTTTGAGCTAACGGGGAAGCTCAGCCCATTGACAGGCTGGGCATTCCAAGCACTGGAAGATCCCAGCAGATTCCCATCCCAGGGTGTGGAAATGTTGTCCAAGAGCTCCGTGGAGTGGCTGTGCTGGCAGATGCCTTTTGGACCAGCGTTTGCTCTTTGCTTTGCCTCTGCTCAGTTTTACGTTTTTTTTTTGGGGGGTTTGTTTTTTTTTTTTTTTGTTGGTTGTTTTTTTTTGTTGTTGTTGTTTTTTTTTAATTTTCAGTTTTAATCCCAAACTCTTCTTGTAAAGCCGAGTCTTGATTTAGCTGCTGGAATCAGGTCTCCCCCACCATGGAGCATCCACAGGGTCCAACATCACCTCAAATCAGGGTTTCTTTCTTAAATCCATCCCTCTGCTTCTGCCAGGGAGGGAGCCAGGGCTCAGTCCCCACTTGTCCAAGCATCCTTGTTTTGCTGCACCAGGACCCACTGGGTACTCTCCCTTGGCTTTGGTGATTACTGATTAGCTAATTACTTTTTTTTTTGAGCAGAAGTAAATTCCAGACCCCTCTGGTTGTTGTTAAGTCAGTTCACATCCTGACAAAATGTCTCTTGAGCTGCCTTGAGCCCCCAATCTTTGCAAGGACGGGAGAACAGCCCTGACCTCTGTTTTCCATGGAAATCTGCCATCTGCTCAATTTTCTTTCCTTCCTTAACATTTTCAATCCACAGCATTCACTGTCTCAAACTTCTGCCTTTTTTATCTATATCCCCAACTGCCTCCTTTGTGTATAAATAAAGTGAATTAAACCTTTCCCTGTGTGTGTTCCTGTCCCCATGGCTGTGGCTTTTCTGGGGTGACTTCCCACACCTACACATCACCAAACCAGCAATTTTTTGAGGTTTTTCTTCAGATCAGTAACACCCTCTCCATCCTCAGGGGGGTCCCTGCACAGATATGGCAAGGTGGGATATTTTTTTTGCAGGAATTCCCCCAATTTGTGTACAAAATCCAGCACTGGCATCTCTGCCAGGCTCAGCTGCAAACAAAAAGAGCCATGACACCATTTTTGGACAGTTTTCACTGAGTTTTTTTTCCCTGACAGCTCTTGCAGAGAGGAATTTTCCTGCTGTTTCCTCGAGGAAGGTGAAAGTTCTGGCCTCAGCAGAATAAATGTGGGAGATTTTCTGCTAAGAATCAGGGTGGCTTTGGGAAATGCCTGCCTCCTCCTCGATTTGGGGAGGTTATTTTTGGGGTGTGCTGCAGCTCTGTAGGGAGGCACCCCAGAGTTTGCTCCTCCCCTCCTGTTTCCATTTACTGCATCCCCAGGATGTTTATTTTCATTCCTGTGCCTCGTATTTCCTCTTTGCCCCTCAAACCCTGTCCCCAGGGAGGAGCAGCTCCTGCAGGACCATCCCCTGGAGCAGCTCCTCTGCTCACATGGACCCTGTGAGGGATCATGGATGGGCTGATGCTGCCCCTGGCATCTCCCAGTGCCCAAAATTCCTGCTGTCAAAGTACCAGATTGCACAAAAAAAAAAAAAATCATCTGTGGGATTTCAGTGCCACAAAGAGCCAGAGCCAGCCTTAATTTATATATTCCAGTATCACTGTAGAGATCAAACTAAATATAGGCAAGGAGAAACACACCCCCAGTGCGAGCACTGCGCAGGACAAATGGAGACAATTAAGTCACAGCAAGGAAAGGAATTAATCTAATGATCTTTACAGGCTCAGCATCCAGCAGCCCATCAGCTATGAAGGGAAAGAGTGACGAGGAGCTCGGCTGAACATGATTTTTCCACTCTCCTTATGGGCATTCCCAGTGTGTGTCCCTTTCTTTTGCTGCAAGGAGAGGAGAGGGGACTCTGGGGGTCTCATCTGAAGCACCTCAGGCAAAAACAGTTTGCTCAGCTTTGGCGGGGTGAGAGAGCTGGGGATGGAGAAGAGAAGGATCCAGGGAGAGCTCAGAGCCTAAAGGGGCTCCAGGAGAGCTGGAGAGGGACTGGGGACAAGGCATGGAGGGACAGGACACAGGGAATGGATCCCACTGCCAGAGGGCAGGGATAGATTAGAGATCAGGGATAAATTCTCTGTGAGGGTGGGGAGGCCCTGGCACAGGCTGCCCCTGAATCCCTGGAAGTGTCCAAGGCCAGGCTGGAACAACCTGGGATAGTGGAAGATGTCCCTGCCCATGGCAGGGGATGGAACTGGGTGATTTTTTAAGGTCCCTTCCAGCCCAAACCATTCCAGGATCCATCCAAAGAAAAACATCTCCTTTTGAGATGATTATCAGCCAGAACCTGCCCCATGAGCAGCTTGGACAGTGTCACTGCAGCAATCCTCAGCAGAATTTCACATTCTTAGGAGAAACAAAAGTCTCAGCAGCAAAGGCAGATTTATTTCTGCAGGGGCAGCGTGTTGGGCACAGCGACTGCTCCTCTGCTTTGGGGTCTGTGGGGCCAAGCTGGCCCCTGTTCTGTCCCCACAGCTCGGTGTGGAAGGGTCAATTTGCCCTGTTTTTGCCAGGATGGAAGGCAGTTATCAGCAGGAGTGGGATAGGCCACGATTTCCTTTCCTAGAAACCTCCTGTCACTGTACCCAGGTGTGTCCTTTTTGCAGCACCCCCTGTTCCCGGGGAAAGAGCCAGCTCAGAGTCTGGGAGTTTGTCTTTCCTGGGCTGGGCTGAGAAGATGGAGCATCCTCAGAGCATCCCTAGGGGCAGCTCCTCTGTCTGGGCCTCCAGCCCTGGGCTCCAGGCTGCAGAAATGCAATATTTTGTCAACTGCTCCATCTAGTGCCATTTCAGCAGAAAAAGCATCAACACTCAGAGCCGTGCTGGGGCCTGGGCAGCTTTCCCTGCCTGGTCTCTGGAGAGGGCCCATGAGGATGTGCCAGCTCTCATCCCTGGTTCTGTGCTTGCAGAACCAGGAATCTTTACCCTGTTTTCCTCATCCTTCTCAAAATGGGATTATAAACCCTTATGTGGAAATATCTGCCCTGGAAAACATAACATTCCTTATGAGCTGTTTAACTGTTTAGGAATCCCTTAGGCTGGATCAGGCTTGGAGTAACCTGGGGTGGTGGGAGGTGTCCCTGTCTGTGGCATGGGATGAGCTTTAAGGTCTGTCCCAACCCAAACCAGTCCGGGTTCTGTGATCCTAAATAAAGAGGGAATAAAGAGTTTATGCTACCACTGCATATTTCCCCTTTTTGGTACAAGAATTAAACTCTGCTGCACCCCCAGCAGACTTGGGAAGGCAGCAGAGCCCTCAGAGCCCACCTGGAAAAGGCTAAAAGCAAAGTCAGGGTGACCCTTGCTCCTTTTCCATTTGGGATACTGCAGAACACGGATCTCTCTGATCTGCTGCCATCCTAGAAGGTGCAGCTATCACAGGGATGTGCATTTTGGGGAACAAACCCTACTAAGAGGGGTAACAACGACCATGGCAGTGTTTAACCAGGACATCAATCCACCCGAATTCCTGACGCAGACGTGTGAACCTGTGGAGAAAGATGATAATGGAATTATGCACCAATGCTCAGCACAACTGTGAAAAGTGATGTTTTATACACGTGTGACATTAAATTAATTCACTCCAGTGCTTTCAGGCAGAGGGACATTAACTGCTCCCTCCTGGCATAATCACATCACCTCCACGGGCTCTATGGATGTCACACTCCAGGGTAGTAATTGCCATGGGATTAATTACAGGGAATTCAGGGGCATTACAATGATTCCTCACCAGCAGGATAATGAGGTGGAGTCCCTCATCCCCCCAGGCTGACCTGCTGGCCCCACCAGCCCACCCAACACCACCACCACCACATCATAACCTGGTTATGAGTTGGCCAAGAAATGCCAACAGCCCTGAGATGGCTCCTGGTTATTCCACATCTCTCCAGGTGAGGAAGCTGATGGAAGGACTGTGAACAGCATGTGACCCTTCTTCTCCAAGGCAGGAGAACTCTTAGGACAAGAGGAAACAGAGGAAAAGTTTTCCCAGAGGAGGTTTAAACTGGGTATCAGGACAACATCTCGTGTAATAGCTTTTAACACTGACTTCAATTAAAATATAGAATAAAACAAATGCACAACTACTTACGCAACCGAGCTTTATTTAGAACCTTTGAAGTCAGAAAATGTCTCATTTTACTGATCTACGTAAACATACAATCAGGAGGTTTAATTGCTTTTTCCCTTGCACAGAAATAAAGTTTTAAACAAACCAGAACACCTCCACCCAGACAAGCGTGATGCAAATTGAATTCTCTGCCTTGGTCCTGCACGTGGAGCATGGTCACTGGTTTATCAATTAGTTGCAATATAATTTTTTTTTGGCAGTAATATATTCGAACACACAAAGTGCAAATTACAAGAAGCAGAAAATGTTCTCTCTCCTTCTGAGCAATGAGAAGTGCAAAATGTCTCAGCCCATAAATTCTATTTTTTATGTCAATGAACTGCATGTGCATCACAGGCTAATGAATAGCCCTGTACAACTTCATTGATTAAATGTGGCACTGTCTCAGGGTTGGAATGCAAAGGCTGTAAAAACACAGGGCAGAGGAATCATTCCCTTTGGTTGGTAAATTCCACACTCTGCTGCTGAGGGCACCTCCTCACACCTCACCTTGAACTCCTGCATGCCTCGGATACCTGTGCAACCAAAGCAGTTTGTTAAGAATTCTCCAATTTTCTACATCTGGAGACACTCCTGTACGTCTGCAACCGAGATTCCACTCACACCTCACCTGGCAAATCAAACTGGGAATCCACTGAAAATGAGAAATCTCTTCCAGGCACTATTAAGGGAATACCCACCAATGGTTCCAGCAGGCTAAATGCACTTTGTGATTACCTAAAGTTATGGAAAACTTTCCAAGGAAATAAGGAAACCCCTTTTCCATGAGAACTTATCACAGCATTCCTGTCTCACTGCAGTTCACCTTGCTCAGGACTGGTTCCTGTATGTCAAATGGGGAAAATTCCACTAAATTACACAACAACTGTACCTTTACCACCCCCCTCCACTGCTCAGTTATTATATTGCAGATTTTCAACCTTCTTTCCATTTAATTCCTGGAATTTTTCACACCAAATGAACAGCCAATCCTGACCCCACCCCCCCTTTCATTTCTCCCAGCTACATCACCATTATAAATTATGTCAAACAGACCAAACCAGACTGGGCTGCTCCCTCCAAACCCCTCCTGCTCCTCTGGATAGGAAGATTAACCCAGAATTCCCTGCACTGCCAGGAATCTGCCTGCCAAATTCATCTGCTACATCACCAAGGCCACACTCACATAATCACTGATGGCTGGGACATGGAGTGAGTTTGGGAAGTTTTGGCTGAACGTTCCTGCACCCCACTTCCACAGTGGGACCAGTCTTGGGAAAGCTCCTCGTGGGCTTCAGACCCCAAAAATTTGGCTGGGGGATGAGCTGGAGGGAGTTGAGGAAGCTCATCCCAAACTGCTGCACCTGGCTGTGGGAGATCAATCCCAGCAGTGCCTGGTGGTGCCCAAAATTGGCAGCCCCAAGAGAGGAGCATCCTCCCTGGTCCACAAAATCTTCCTGCACTGCCTGGTCCTGGGGAGACTCTTGGAAATGTGCATCAGTTTGCTGGTTAGGATGAACTCCGTGGAGCCAGAGGGACTGCTCACTGTCATTCCTGGAATTACAGGATCACATTCCCAAAGCAAACTTTTTGTCTTCACTGAAGTTTCAGGATGAGCAATTATGCTGCAGCTTGGCACGACAACAACTGCCTTTGTATGCAACATGCCTAGCATATATCAGCACATTTCTTCTTAAAAAATAGAATTAGAATAGAATGAGCTACGCTGTTGTTGTTCATGCTGCCTAAATATCTGAAAAGGCTCAAACATTTTAAAAGCCTAAAAAAATAAATTTCCCTCTCCCCTCGTTTATTTTTCATGCTAAAGGCTGCAAATTGACACATCACAGTAATTACCTCTGACTAACTTCCACAGACCTACCCAAAGAGATAAACATGAGAAGTTCACATTTGACTATCAGACTTACTGTGCTGAGCACAAATAATTTCCCAGAGGAGAATTTGATATTTCATCATTTGGAACAGTGGTAATTTAATTACATTGCTAATGTTTTCTGGCATACTTGAAAGAACAATTAGCATAAGTAAATCATGAGTGAGATGACAAGTCACTCAGCATTTATTCCTGCTCCTCAGATGAGATCAGCTGATGATCTGAATTCTCTTTTGTGTGTGAATTGATTCCAGGTTCAGCAGTCACAACCAGCGCTCAGACCAGCAGGGACAAAATCGTGTTAAATAAAGCAGAATGAGTCTTGTCCTTTGAAGCTCCTTAATTAAAACTTGTCCAGAGAAACCTCCGAAGCCACCAGAAGTCGTGGAGGGCGGGGAGAAAGGCCGGAAAGAAAACCTGAACGAAGCTGGAGATGCACGGCGGGAATGCTGATCCACGTTTTGCCAGGCGTTCGACAGCTCTCCTGATGGCCTAACAGAGCTCGGGTGCTCTCAGGACAGCACTGTCAGGGTCACCATGCCCCTCTGGCGCTTCAGGATGGCCACAGCCTGCTCGTGGGTGACTCCTTCCAGGGCCTCCCCGTTGACGGCCACGATCTGGTCGCCGCGTTTCAGCCGTCCATCGTCGGCCGCTGCGCCCTAAAACGGCAAAGCAGGGCTCAGGCCGGCACCCCCGGCCTCCCGGAGCCCGGGGTGCGGCCTGCAGGGAGGGATGGAGCTCTGCAAGGAGGGATGGAGCTCTGCAGGGAGGGATGGAGCTCTGGAAGGAAGGATGGAGCTCTGCAGGGAGGGATGGAGCTCTAGAAGGAGGGATGGAGCTCTGGGAACCCCTCCTGGCCTGGAGCAGTGGCAGTGCTGAGCTCCCCCGGTGGCCGTCGCTGCCCACCCTGCACAGGGAGACACCGAGCAAAGGCCTGGGCAGAGGTTCGGGGTTTTATGAGGCAGAACTGGTTCTGGGTTTTATGCTCGTGGGGAGGCTTGTCAGAGCAGAATTGAAATGTACTCCGTGCCTCATGGCTGAGAAACAGCTAAAAAAGTGGGGAGGGAGAGGGAACCAAGCCGGGCACTGCCCCCAGCCCCAGACAGAGATGAAAAAATGGCCTGGGGTTGTTTAGATTAAACATCAGGATAATTTTGTTCACCACAAGGTGCCAGTCACTGGAGCAGACTGCCCAGTGCAGTCCCCATCCTTGGAGGGCTTTAAAAGCCATGTGGATGTGGCACTTGGGGACATTGGCTGGCAATGCTGGGGGAGTCACTGGACTCGGTGATCTCAGAGGGTTTTTCCAACCTAAAAAATTCTGTGACAGTCCTGAAAGCTTCCAGAGAGCTTTAGGAATGGCTCCTCTCCTCCAGACATCCCAGTGAAGCTGTTTTACCTAAATCCCAAGCCCTGCCTGCCCAGAGCTTGGCTCATGGTGTCTCTCTCTGCCCCAGCTGTGACTGCAGGAACTTCAGGTTCCATTTAGGATTTCTCAGTCACGCTCACATCTAGAAACCTGTAACCCTAAGAACAGGTTAAAAAGCACAATATTTTAAAAATTTAGAATTGCAAAAATACCAGATTTTGTGGTTGGAACCCCAGAATAGCAGGAGCAGGAGATATGGCTCCTACTTTACTAAACTTCAGGCAAAGTTTTCTCCACCACATCATCTACCCTGCCACAGGTGCTGACACAAGTGGCACCAAGTAGGCACAGGGCAAGCAGCTGCATGTGACAGACTTCACAATTATTTTATAGAAAGTATCCCTAATTCCCACTGCTTTTCTTCCCTCCCCTTCCATTTCCACAACTCCCCTCATGTGGCCATGCCTGATGAGTTTTGCTGGCTCCTTTTTAGCAGGGGATGGGTGGGAAAAGGGGAATATCTCCCTCCTACAATATGCTTTATTTATGATTCTTCCCCAGTCTCAGTGGCTGGAGCTCTCTGTTCCTGGCAGGGACCCCCCAGTCGTCCCAGACACTCAGAGTTGGGATCAGAGATGAGCTAATTCCTGTTTTTTTCATCAGGATACAGCATCTCTGCAATTTCCTCACTCCTGCACAGTGGGAAAAAAAAGTTGCCTTCGATACCTCCTGGAAATCTCTTGGAGATTTACAGGTAGAAAACTGCCTTATAAATATTTTAATATACAAACACAAGTTTCCCAAGTACACAGAGCAGTTTTGCTGAGACAAAGTGTCTCGTTTCAGCCATCAGGAATATGAAATATAAACTGAGAAGCCAGCTATGAGTTCTGGGTCCACTAACTCACAGCAACGTTTTGCTTTCTGCTACATAATATATTATCCAAGCCCAATCTTAGGTTTATTTTTAAAGATAATACAGAAAAAAAAAGGGGAGAAAACAAAAAATAAAGATACCTTGGCAAATATAGTCTTGACATAAATGGGCAGGTCTCCATGGGGACTTCCATACCCCCCTACAATACTAAATCCCAGTCCATCAGAGCCTTTCTCCAAAGTAATAATCTTAGGTTGAGGTGCTCTGAAAACACAATAAATATCACTTAGGTAAGCAATGTGTGTCTGTGGGGACTTTATGCAGAAGGAACACTTACAGAGACATTTATCTATCATGAGTTTTTTCACACAGTCACAAACCATGACCCTTGCATTGGAACATTCCTGCAAAGCCCAGAGTTCAAAGGCTGCTCCGTGTGCTCCAGCTCCTCACTTGGAAAAAAATATTTTTAATTATTATTACATTATTACTCATTATAATAATAATATATAATAATAATTATAATAATTATTATATTATATTATTACTGACATCCCTGTGCTTATGACTCCAGAGCTGGAGCCTGAACTCTTCAGGGATTTTCTCTGTCTACACTGAGCAAAGGAAGAAGTTTTTGGTGGAATTTAGATCACTCATATGAATTTATCCATCTCAGATTTGAAATTAGTAATTTCTACGTATGTAGAAAGAACTGCTGTGGACAGAAGGTGGTCAGGCATTGGCACATCCCTGTGTGGATGTAGCACTTGGGGACATGGGCCAGTGGTGGCCTTGGCAGTGGGACTCAATGATCTGAGAGGGCTTTTCCAAGCTAAACCTTTCCATGATTCCCTGAAAGCCATTTGGCATCTTCCACCTATCTAAAGGTGCAGCCCAAGCTGAGTAATATTTATGCATTTTTTAGGACATAACTAATTCTGCTTCATATTTTCACCTCCAAATTTCCCTACTGCTTTGATATGAAAAAAAAAAAGAACACAAATATTTTTGTAAAGCAAGCAGTTCTCTTTTGAGAGCAGCAATAAAACCAGTATCTCACATTTTAAGACCACAGAATGCAGCACAAATAGCTCAACTTTTACACTCAACCCTCCTGAGGCAGGGCAGCAACTTCTTAAAATAAATGGAATGAACCACAGAATGAAAATGAAGAACATAATGAAAATGATGAGCTGAAATGGAGAATAAATGAATTTCAAAATTGTAACTCGGATGCTCCAGTGTGAAAAACACATGATGGAGAATGATGCACTGCAGGGCTGGACCTCCAACTCCATCACCACACACAAGTGCTGCAAGCAGGAATTATTTTAATTGGATTTTTTTGACTCATAAAGCTATAAAGATTGAAAAGACAAAGCCCTGGGACATGTTTTGTAAGGTGTTTTTAACACCTCTGGCATCAGTCTGCCAATACCAAATTATTTCAAATTGCTATGATCAGAACTCCTTCCAGATGAGGAAGCCAATGGAGAAGGGCAGAAATACCACAGCACAACATCAAGGAAGAAAAAGGATGTTTTTTTCCTTGACAAACACCCAGAAATCAGGCTTGGGAACACATTCTGTGCTTATTCACTCAAGCAATTTCTGTCATCAGCAAAGACAGACACGAGCCCATCACCAGCCTGGGGAAAGTCACTGAGCTTTCATTTCAAAGGTGACAGAAAACGAGAGAGAGAGAGAGAAAAGCAATGGCAGAGACCTCCCTGCACCCTTTCCCTGGCCCAGGAATGCAGCCCAGGTGTGCAGGAGAGCAGGAACTCACTCGGGGTCCTCGGAGGGATGCTCGGAGGGCAGGCTCAGGCTGCAGCCCGTGGACATGCTCTCCAGCTGGCTGGCAATGGCACTGATGTTGGTGTCAGCCACCACCTGGGCAACAGGGATGCAAGAAAATACAGTTTGGAAAAGCAGTTGTTGTCTTTTCCCCCCCCATGCAAGCTTTAAAACCAAGCCCTGCTCTCTTAATTCTCCACCAATCCCACGGTTTCAGGTAAGTTTCACTTTCTGGGGGTTCAGTGCAAGTTTTGCTCTGAAGCTTCCTCTTGCCCTCACAAGAGCATCACTCAGGCTCTGAGCAAAAGGGAAGAGCCTTTCTGGGTAATCCAGAGAAAAAGGCTGCTTTTCCAAGGAAACAGAGTTGGCACAAGGGGTCCAGGATTGGTCTTGAGAGAAACCCCATAAACTTTAAGAAAACACCAAGATCCAAGGGACCATTGGGCAAAGGCCCTGAAATGTCTCAGACTGGTTTGTTTGATGAGTAGGGAACAAATCTATCCTTGGTTTTCACTTTTCTGAATTTTTAGCATGAATAAAACCTGGATATTTAAACTTACTCTATTACTCTGAAAACATCCTGAATGATGCTCTGAGGGCTGGAGCCCCTTTCTGTGGAAACAGGCTGGGAAAGCTGGGGGGGCTTCACCTGGAGAAGGATCTAGGGAGAGCTCAGAGCCCCTTCCAGTGCCCAAAGGGGCTCCAGGAGAGCTGGAGAGGGACTGGGGACAAGGCAGGGAGGGACAGGACACAGGAATGGATCCCACTGCCAGAGGGCAGGGATGGATGGGATATTGGGAAGGAATTCCTTCTGTGAAAGTAGTGAGGGCCCTGGCATTAATTATTTTTTTTCTTCATTGATGCTGATTTATTTGTTTTATTTTTCTGGAAAATTTTCAAATAAACCATCATGAAGTGGTTTGGATTTGAAGTATTTACAGCTGAAAGGACATCAATTTCCCAAAAAGTACACGCTGTGGTTATCCCCTAACTCCATCTCCCTCTGAGGAGATATTCTTCTCTGCCTGACGTTTACTGCAGCACAGGAGTTCAGCTCAGACACTGAAAAACAGCCAGGAAGCACAATTCCAATATTTCCTCTAGCTATGGCCTTATTTTATCAAAGTGAGCAGGTACCCCTTCCACTCATTGCTGTGAACCTGGCTTTAAGGAAAACTTCCCTTTTCAAAGTAAGAAATTCGTTCTATAAATCTGTTTTAAATGAGTGCTCACAATTCTTCCATAGCAATATTTCCCTCTTCCCAATCATCTGGAGCCAAGAGGGTGGCAGAGCCAGGAGGTTTCCATGCAAATTTTGCATCCCAGGATTTGGGTTCCAGGAGGGGGTGCAGCAGGTGAGAACAGCACCTGGCTCAGCCAGCAAAGACCCCACCAAGGTTCCCTTCCTGTGGCATCAGAGTAAGGAATTCCAGCCAGGATTTCTCATGGGTTTTTTTTTTTTTTGTTTTGTTGTTGTTGTTCAATAAAACAAGGGTAAAACCAAATCTGTATTCAAAAATCTTCAGCTGGCAGCAAGAACGTATCAGAGTTCAACAACCTTGTTAAAAAGCTCCCCCTTATCTCATTACTACACCTGCAGAAAAGAAATTAAATTAAACCAAGGCATCAAAACAGCTGAGAGGGATGATTGTTCCCCTGAGACCTTAATCTCCCATTTGCAAACAGCATTTGCAAACTCCTTCCCAGGACGTTCCCATAATAAGCCTTTCCACCCCACTGAACACAATTATCTGACCTTTCAGAGCAGTTTGCCACGAAGTGGTCTACCCTGATAATAAACAGAATTACTTAATGGCACATCAGTCATGATGATCACAGTGATAGGATTGTTCCATCTGGATTGTTTTGATAAAAATAAAAAAAAAGAGCAGTTTGGTGGTGGAGGGGTACCTGTGATGGGTGGGGAAGGGAACCATCACCACACTTTGACACTGCTCCAGGTGTTAAAATACAACATCCAACCTTCCCAGGGCAGATTTTTAATAGAGGAAAACAGACTCTATTCCATCCAAATAAACCTCTATCATCTGTAAACAGTATCAAGCTCATTTTAATGAGACAGAATGCTCAGAGAGCAAAAATGTGGAAGAAAAACAGCCAGCTGACAAACCCAAAGACACTTCCAGAAGAAGCTCTTCAAGCCAGTGGCATTTCTAGAAGAGCCTCTTTGTTTGTCTGAGTGACCCAGTGGCAGAGTGCTCCATCAGGAATATTTTTAAATCCATCATGAGGTGCAATATTGAGCTATATTACAGCTTTCAAGATGAGCAATTTTGGGTTCTGCAGCAAGCTTTCATTTTCTATTCAGGGAGTACTGTTGACATGAAAAGTGAAATTACTCAACGTTAGTAACAATATGATAACTATAATTTAACAGAGAATCCTCAGCTGGTGTAAATCTGTGTGTTTCCTCTGACTTCAATGGAACTACACAAAACACCATCTGCTCTGGAACTGGCTCATCACTTACTGGGTCAGCAGTTCATGGACAGACAAAACAAAGAATGAGCAAGTCTCAAACTAAGTTTATTATCATTTCATTGCCTCTTTTTTCTTTCTCTCCCCCCCTCCTCCATTTTTTACAGCCACATTTGTGTCATAATACAAGCAAGAAGCTTGCAAAAATCCCTCAGGATGTGTTCCAATCCAGAATGCTGTGATGATAAAGAGAGTTAAGAGAAGATTTTAGTGGTGCCTTCAGCTTGTTTTCTGATTGTTGCAGTAATTCTGCAAACGAGTAGAATTTTGAATTCTAACTGGCAAGTATTTTCCCCATTTCTTTGTGTAAACATAAAAATAAACTATGGATCAACACAGTGGCAGGCAGCAATTAGAAGCAATGTGGTAGAAGATGTCCCTTTTAGCTACCAGAGAAACACAGCAGTGACAGCACTGTTTTCTCTCCTGAGTGTTTTTATCCTTTACCTGATGAATAATCAGTTCCAGGCAGCACTGTCTTAGTGATGATGCCATCATTCTTCCTAAATTCTGCTAGAATTTCTTTCAAGGATAAGGAAACCACCCCGTGGGTCTCTGTCTCATTACATCACAAGCACACACACTCATTTTCTTGTTCCTAGTTAACTTCCAATTAAAAAAAAAAAAACACCCACAACTGGGAAGCTTGTTGATTTATCACGTGTGGCAACAAGTTACTTTGTTCCCTTTGTTGTGCTTTTATAGAACCATGCTCACAGTCTGTATGAATGGCAATAAAGGATTTTTGAATGGAAATGATTTCTTGCTCTCCTTCTGTGTAATTCCCACCAGCAAAGCACCCTGCAATTCTGTGATGCCTTGTGCCAGGGATGCTCAGGGATTTTTTTTTTTTCCTTCCTGAATGCCATTTATCTCCCCTGCTGCAGCTGCATGTTCAATTTATCACCATACCTGCAGGATAATGCTCCCATAAGCATTCTTTAGTAGATTAACTGCATCTGCATGAGACAGCCCATCCAAAGGTTGCCCATTAATGCTGACAATCCGATCTCCAACCTGAAAGTACAACAGTAATGGAAAATTACCAGCATTAGGGAAAATTAAAATTAAGAATGCTTAAAATTCCTCGTGAACTTGGCACTGCACAGTCATGCTTCTCTTTTGCAGGATCCCTTTTGTGAGGATTCTGCACTGCCAGTGATCATTTCCCATTCTTTTCTTAACACTAACAATACCATCAGAGAAACAAAGATGGGTTGTATTTTACTCTTTCTATTTGCAAGCAGAGAGGGAGGGAGACTTTCCCTGCTGTCCTCCCATCCAGAAAAGATTCATTTGTGTCTGAATGTGCAGACAAGTTCATATTCTTAAAGACTGTGTAAAGCACATGCTGAATGTTGTATAGGAGAGTAGGAACTCCTGATATTAATCCAATTAACCTGGATGATTTCTTCTTCCTACACACAAAAATGATCTCGACCCTGCCATTGTTTAATTCCATTAGAGACAAGGCATGAGTGTAGCAGCATGTCCTAATGAATCTCATGGGCCAAAGCATGTGGATCTGCATAATAAGTTCTTTTCAATCCTCATAATTCCTTGAAATTCTCTCCAAAACTGGGAGTGTTCACCATAGCCATGCCTGGAAACCCACACATGCCGTGGGTCTGATACAAGTGCCTTATTTTGCTGTTTATTTACAGGAGCCTAAAGATCAAACAACTCATTTCTGATCTGGTTTCTACCAGGTTTGAGCTCTAAATGATGCCCAGAGTTCCCAAAACACCTGTGGTTTCCAGAGAGCCTCTTGCTGCCCTGCCTGGGTCTGGATGAACACAAGACATTCCATGACCACTACAAATTCATTAAAGCTCTCTCTCTTAACATCACCTTTTCCATATGGGCAGCAATTGCCATTATTCCCAAGATGGGAAGAGAAAGCCAGATTTGTTCTTTGGGTGGTTTTTTTTTTTGTTGTTGTTGTTTTGCTTTTATATAAAAAGAGGCAAAGCAGTCTGTGAGAGCTTATGGGTGACAGCAGATACAGAAGTGCTTGAGGCTTCAAGGGACATGTGGGAGATGAAACAGGAAATATTGAACTCACCCTGAGCTTTTGTGTCCGAGCAGCCACTCCACTGGCCTGGATCATAGCAATGAAAATGGGAATGTCTCCCAAGGGACTGCCCTTCCCTCCTGCTATGCTGACACCCAGAGCATCATTTGGGCCCTGGAACAAAGCAAAACCAAACACCTGCAGCGTTCAGAGGGCTGTGCTCAGGGTATGGCAGTAACTGACTGCTTGGATTGGTGGAACAGGGAGTAAATGGGTTTGACACACACATTTCCTCACCCAAAGCACAGGCACACATCCAACACCCAACTGCAAACACAAATAATGCAGCTTGGCTTGTGGGAAATGCTGCAAAAATGAACAACTTCAGTGAAAGGAGCTGGCTTTATGAATGGATAGAAAACAACTCACTGACCCTTGTTATCTCCACAGTCCTTGGGCCCATATCGGCTCCTGCTAATAAAGAAACAAACAATTAGCTTCTGTAATTAAGAGATAATATAATTAAGAGATAACACTGTCAGGTGACAACAGTCCCTTGCTGCCTAGGCAGAGTTATCACCAGGCAGGAGTGGAGCCTTCCTGTGCCAAGGCAGGCAGTGCTGCCCACGTGAGGAGGAGGAGGAGGAGGAGGAGGAGGAAGGGTGAATGTGGTGTAATCCCTCTGGTCCTCCATGTCACTGTGACTCCCTTTGTAGCCCAGCCACAATCTGTGGAACAGCAGCACTCTGCCAGCCTGGAGAACAGCCCTATTGTGCCTTCACTCAATTAAAGATTGGCTTTTTATTCCTAAATGCACAAAGGGCTCTGGGAATGCTGCGGTTCCAGGGATCTCCTCTTCCCCTTTGTGCTGGGTTGGTAAATAAGGGACAGGCAGGAAGTCAGGCTGGGATGTATCCAGCTATAGGGTGTGGAAAAGTACTCAAAATACGGGAAAAGGGGAGGGAAAAGGGAAAAAAAGGGGAAGGGAATAAGGATGAGAGGGGAAAGGGAAGGGGAAGGAAATAAAGGTGAGGAACGGAAAGGGGGAAGAGGGAAAAAGGAACATGAAAAAGAGAAGGGGGAAAGTGGGAAAGGGAAGAGAGCAGAATGGAAAGTAAAGGAAAAAGGCAAAGAAATACTTCAGAGGCATTGCTCAAACTGCAACTTTTTCAGCCCAACAAGCTCATAGTCAGGTCCTGAGCTCTGCTACACCCACCCCTAACTGCATCAGCTTTAATGAAACCATTTTAAGAGCCTTGCAGAAGGCTGGCAGAGTACATCTCTTCCAAAATTCCACAATTCTTACCCCCCCACCCCAAGCCAGCACTCCCCACATCCATGCAGGTGTGCCTGGGCAGGAGGAACAGGACAGCTGAGGTCTGGGGACCCCAAAACAGGGTCAGGAAATGCCCAGTGCTGCAGGGCCTGCCCAGACAGCACAAGGACGGATGCCCAAAAGCCACCAGGCTCCTGCAGTGCCTATAAACCAGCAGGAGAAATGTCTTCTCCTCCTGCCCACGCTCAGATGTGAGCAAAGATTCCCAACTCCTGGAGCAACTCTTCCCCAGGCTGCTGCAGGTCGTGGATTTAACGCTCTCTAAACCTGCAAATTGCAAACTGGGCATTGTGACTTTCTCATTACAAAACACCCCTTTATGCACTCAAGAGCAGCAGAGATATAAATGAAGTGGTGGCAGCTTTATTCCCTGAGAAAAGTGTTTCTAATGCGAGAACCATGCCTGTGCTAAGCCCCTGACAAGGGCGTCGGGGAATAGCAGGGCACAGGAATTCTGCACTTAAAATAGAGGGGCCATTACTCCTCCAGCAGACAGAAAAATAATGTCATCTTCTGGGAAGTGTTTGGGTCTTAAAAACATCCGTGGGGCGTCTTCTGGGAGGCTGGGCAGGAAAGCCAGACTCAAGTGCTCAGTTTGGCTTTGAAAGCAGCCTGAATATAAAGCAAATCACACTCAGTTTGTACCTGAGTTTCTCTGGGATGTGTCTGCTGAGGATCTTTTTGTGCTGACAAAGTTCTGCAAGGTGGAGAGGACGGGAGCAAGAGCTGGGTGGAAGTGGCTGTGGACACTCTGTTGGCTCGCCTGAGGGTAAAAATAAATAAAAAACCTGTGAGTCAAACCCAAAAAGTGAGCTTTAAAGCTTGAGACAGACGGGCACAGCTGTGCTCTGTGCCAGCCACACTGGAAATGCCACATTGGCCACGCAATGCAAACCCCTCTGGCAGGGGAAACCCACCAAAATCTCCCTGTGGAGATGAAGTCACCACAGTCCCTGGAGGGATTTAACAGATGTGTGGACGTGACACTCGGGACAGGAGGCAGTGGTGGGCTCGGCAGTGCTGGGTTTGATGATCTCAGAGGGATTTCCAGCCTCAGTGACTCTGTGGTGCTGCTCACAGCACTACAGACCCTTATTCCACACTTCTGTGTTGCTCAGGTCAGCTTTGGACTGTGTTCCCCCCCTCCCAGTTGCTCCCAGGGTGTCTCCACACCTCAGGAGAAGGGGAAATGATGGGCACCTTCCCTGTGATGCCCCTGCATTCACGAGCACCCAGCAGGACAAAGAGCTGCTCTCCCACACGAGGGGGGGACAGCAGGGACACCCATCCTGTCACCTGGCAGCAATCTTTGTTGTTTTAGCTGAACACACTGTAATTGTGTATTCACGATTTGCTCCCCTGCTCCTTCTATTTGCCCAAGAAGCTCCTCTCATTTCCAGCAGAACGTGGGGGCTGACACAGGGAGAGCCTCCAAAGGGAGAAGCTCTCTCCTGCTGCCCTTTCCATTTCCCTCCTTTTCCCTCTCTCCTCTTCTGCCTTTTATCTTCAGACCCTGCCCCTGGAGGAAACCCAATTATCAATTTAGAAAGTGCATCTGAACAGGTTCCACCAAGGGCCAGACCTTTCCAACTGGGCTCTGCCTTGTCCAAAACAAAGATCTGCTCCACCCTTGTCCATGCACAGCAGAGATTTCTCCCCCCAAAGGCATCAGCTGGTGACTCAAAAGCCCTGACACATTTATCCCCCTGGCCAGGGTGCAGCTGTCAGTGACAAACACCAGGCACAGCAGAGTTTCCACCCCTGGGTGCCAATTCATGGCCCAGTTAACAACATTTGCAATGCATGTGAAAGAAACCCCTGTCCTGCACCACAAGGCTTCGACTTCCTCTGCTCCAGGGATGCAGTGGACCCAGAAAAAAGCCAAGTGAGGACAAAAGGTCTGGATGCTCTTGGCCAGCACCTCCTAAAGCAGTGCTTGCAGTTGTGCAAATCATTCAAGCTGATTTGCTGCATCATCTGCCAAGATTTTTATAACTCTTGGAAGGGTTTTGGTGAGAAACATTTATTCAGTTTTCAAAATCACCAAGCCACTTTGGAGCAGGGAGATGAAGGCTCTCAAACCACTCTGCATCAAGGAGATTAGGATTTCTTGTATCAAAAGAAAGGCAGGAATTACCAGGTTCCTGCAAAAGCCTCTTATGCTACAAAAAAGGGAGATGATGTCATTTGATCTGAATTTTTACCTAGACCCACATTAGATATTATGGCATTTTGCTTCCCTTTCAGCTTGAGCTTTACATGGTAAAAAAATGTAAAATTTACCAGGTGAGTAATATTTAGCTGTCACTTCTTGATTACCTTGGGCTTCATGTTAATACAATGGCCAAAACAAAATGTAATACCTGACTGCTGACTTAATGCAATCAGTGCAATTTCCCTTTGTTACTTCACTTCTCCTTGCCTGCTGCATGCACTGCAGATGTTTCTCCAAAGCCATTGTTTTTAAAGCTGGGCTTAGCCCAGCTGTTCCCCCGTGGCTTCAGCCCTTCCTCTCCACCTCCAGCCAGCCAGGACCACTGCTGGCCTTTAGGAAGTGAAGAAATCACACCATGATCTGATAATTTTGGCACCTTTTTGGGGCTGCTCACGGACAGGCCTCTTACAGACCTCCTTAAAAACATTCCTGCTTTAACTCACATCTCCCCTAAGCCTCCTGTGGCTCCTCCTCTCTGTTTCCAAAGAACAAACCCTTCTTTTAGCAGGGCTGGATCCCCTCATGTGCAGCTTCCCCATGGCAGAAAGGGGCCAAACCCCCCCACAGCCTCACCCTGCTGTGATCCACTCTTTTAGAGACATTGGCACCTTAAATATAATGGCAAAGCAGTCGATTTTCAGAAGGAAAACCCATTAAAAAGAAGTTTTCTAAGTCACTGTGCCTTGTTTCTCTCCCCTGCAATCCTCCAGGCTTAACACCAAGAATTGTGTCTGAGCAGACTGGGGGGCACAGGGAGAGGGGAAAAGCCCTGCTCTGATTGAAAAATGAATTGTTGTCCTCGCTTCAGGTAAAAAGCAAGTGAAGCAGGAAATTGCTCTGTGTTTTCTTGGAGAGGAAAGCAGCTCTCCTGTGGTTCTGCTGGAAGATAGGCACAGATACAGTTTGGTTTCATTAGCTCGTTTTGATAGACAAAACAGCTGCAGAAAATACATTCAAGCAGTTTTTGCAGGTCTTCAAACCAAGAATTTCTGGGCATCATCACTTGGGAAAGATATTACAGATTTTTGGTGTGTCTTGGGAAGACACTCCTTCAACAATAAATACATTAACCAGCTTTTCTGCTCAATCAGCATTTCAGCTGCAGTTCAGCACGGAAAATTATGGGGATAAAATATCTTATTCCCTACCCTCAGCAGTGTCTGTGGAAGGATGAGCTTCATGTGCACATCTGTGCACCATCCCCGTGCTCTGCCCCTCACAGCTCCAGTTTAAACAGAGGAATTTGTCACTAACCTGACTGTTTTGAGATGTTTTCCGTGATGACAGCCATGACCCAGCTCTCAATCTCCCAAGCTCAAGATGCACCAGGCCTTGAGCACACTTGGAAAAAAAAAAAAAAAAAACACAAAAGAAAAAACAACCCACAATGTACAATTTAAGTAGACATATAATATTTCATGCTCTCCTGGAGAGAATTATGTTTATATTCAGCACCACAAGTCCGTGAAGAAAGCCACAAGGAATGCTCAAAACATGAACACTTGTATTTAGACAATACAAAAAGTGGATTTAGGCTTGTCCTGAAGGTTTCTCCTGGTTGCTGTACTTAGTATGAATCTCACCCTTGCAAACTGATGGCCAATTTACTCAGGAAAAATAAACAAAAAGCCCCAAACTCTTTAGCAGTCATTTGAAAAACCCTTCAGAGGCAAAATGCTGCAGAAAAGGGTGAATTTAACCCATATGGATCCAACTTCACAAAACACCCTCGTTCCACCAGTTCCCAATTCTTAAATAGGTGAATTTTTGGCAAGATACCAAGCCTGAATGGAAAAAGCAAGGAAATAATTAGCCTTTCCCCTGAAGAATGGAAGAAATCATGAGCAGAAACACTGGTGGGGATGGCAGGGGGAAAGCCCTGGAAGCAGTTTGGAACAGAATTGGGTCTCCAGCATCCACTGATGGCACTCGTGGCCATGCCTGCCCTCTGCCCCAGCCCAACCAGCCATGGAAAAAGGCAACTTCTCCCAGAATTTCAGAGCAAAATCACTCCTGGAACATGGAAAGCTGTGCAGGAACAGATTGGAGCTGTCATTTTATCCCTGCAGGTCAGTACAGCAAAGCCAAAGATTTATTTCAGTTCTGGTTCGTGTTGCCTCTCCCGTTTCCAAGTGTTTTTCTAACACATGAGACACACAGTTGCATTTTCAAATAAATGACTGAATACTAAATGTGCCTTTGTGTTCCTGCTTCATATCATGCAATTCCTAGAAATACACAGAGAAGTGACTTTAAATGAACCTCCCAGTTATTTCAAATGAAATTCTTGTCTCGGTAATCAGCTGGAGCTGTCCTGTGTATGGTAAATAGCACTTCAGGATAATTACCTTGCACAGTGTCAGTAACTGCAATTCAATATCACAAAATGTATTCTGTACTCACCTTAAGTATAGTGGCAACAGTCTCTTGTGAGGCATTTCTCATATCCTCCCCATTTACAGACAAAATCTGATCTCCTTGAATTAATCTTCCATCTAGGTCTGCAGCTCCTCCTTTAACAATGTCAGAGATAAACACTCCACTTCCATTTCTAACAATGCAAGAAGCATATGGCTAATTACACAATCCAATATTCTTTGGGAGACCAATTTAGATTACTTGCATTTAAGAGACATTAAAAGAAACCTGTGAGCAGAGGAAGAACCAGTTTTACACCCCATTCAGCTGTGTAAAAAATTGATGTGTTTTAAAAGCACAGCATGTTCTGCTAATATTTAATGTTGTCTTTCCCCTTGAACTGCTAGTTCTGACTGTAGGATACAGGGACAACACCATTTATATGAATAGAAGTTGGAGGTTTTGTCTATAATGGAGTTAAACTGTCTCCTGATGGGACAGGGGTTAGTGGTGGACCTGGCAGTGTTAGGTTAAAGGTTGGACTCAATGATCTTGGTGAGCTTTTTCAACCTCAGTGATTCTGTGATTCTGTGGTGTGAGCTGCAATGTCAAGATCTGGCATCTTTTTTATCCTTCACCTGAAGGACATAACACTCCCCTCTCTGAATTATACCTGGGTATTATTTAACAGACTTCAGCAATGGGGATCCTTCTAAGGAGGGGATCCCCACTCTGAAGGATTCAGGAGTAGCACAGGAAGTTCAGCACAGAAGCAAAGGGAGGAGGGCTGGAGACTGTGATTACCATCTGCAAGGTAATTTCCATCATCTAAATTAGTTACCCACCCCACAATCTGCTCACAACACCTGGGTTAAACACTGCCACCCAAAAACTGCTGCAGAAACTCTGCTGACCACAGGCAGTCAGGATAATGACACAGTGCTTTGGAATTGCAAAAGTAAATTATTTTTGGCAATACAGGAGGACAACTCTAACACTGAACAAGTTGTCATGCCATAAATCTCTTTTAGCAAAGGAAGATTAAAACTATCAGTGCTCTGGTTTGAGTGATCTAACAGCAGTGGTTTAGAGATGTATCAGGAAAAAGTCACATTTTATTAGGCTGCTGTTACTTCCCACTGTATTGCTCTCCACAGCTCCCTGACACCAGGGTGGAGCCAGGGCAGGGCAAGAGGAAATGGCCACAGATTGTGCCAGGGGAGGCCTGGGTTGGATATAAGGAAGAATTTCTCCACGGAGGGTGGTCAGATATTGCAAGGGGCTGCCCAGGGAGGTTTGGAGTCCCCATCCCTGCAGGTGTCCAAGGAAGGGCTGGAGGTGGCACTCAGAGCTCTGGCTGGGTGACATCAGTCAAAAAAGGGACTCAATGACCCTGGAGGGCTTTTCCAGTCTCAGTGGTTCTGTGTGTCAGGTTCTGCTCTGTAAACTGCTCTCTGCACTGTGGCACAGTCACTCTGAACTGCTCAGGGCTTGGATGAACTCAGCCTCTCACCCTCCACTGGCCTCGGTCCCTTCGAACTGAGCATGAGCTCAATGTGACTCACAAATCCATCTGCAAAGGCACATCCTGGAAAGAGGTAGGGTAGGTTTATCCCCCAGCTTAGAAACCAGTAAGGCCATGGTCAGGGCCTCCAAAGCCCTGAGACACATCTACCCTGAGGCCACAGAAGAGTGAGCCCCCAGTTCTGCATGGGATTCCCTCTCCGTGCCCGGAGCTCTCCTGGGCAGCCTCCACTTCTCAGCTCTGTTCTGGCACAGGAGCCACAACCACGGCCCCATTGCATCCTGGAACACATTTACATACAAAATTCTGCTCCTCATGGAGTCTCCCCTTTATTTCACATTCCATTTAATGGCTACAGCTGTCCACACATCAGAATCCCAGACATTTCCCACTGGAAGCGCTCTCAGATCAGAGACACTCTTACCGTTTCCCAGCTATGCTGAGCCCCAGCCCTCGGCCCGTTTTCTTTTGGATATCTACAGAGAAAACCTCCAAGTTTTCCTCATCCTTGTAATGTGCTTCATTCCTGTAAACCACCAGCTGCACCTTCTGGGGTGTCTGCCGGAGTGCAGTGATGGCTTCCTCGTGGCTGGCGCTCCGCAGGTCGATCCCGTTCACCTGCAATGATCAGTGTTTGCTTTCCCAATGCCACGGATAAATCATCTTCTCATCACACCCTGCCCGTGGGTGACAGCACACATCTGTCAGTTTGACACCCCTTGGTGCTCTCTAATTGAGTGTTCCCATTTCCAGAGGGCCGAGATCCTGGGGCTCCTATGGGGTGGGAGCTCGGAGCTCTGTGCCACTGCCTGGAGCAAATCCCAACAATCAGAACATTTGGGACTGGAAGTTTTGGGTGTTCTTCCCTTCTTTTTAACCTCAAGCCTTTGGAACCTCAAGCAATGCTTTTCCCCAGCTACACAAAGTGCTCCTTTGAGCTCCCTGGGTATCTCAGCACTCAGATCCCTTCTCCCCCAGCTCCATAACATCATCAAGATGAAAACAGAAAGAATCAGAAACACCAGCAAATAAATGGCCACAGAGAATCCCAGGCAGGATGTATTAAATGGTGATTTTCCTTTTTTCCCAATAGATGGCACACCAGACCACTGCTGGAGCAGCCAGCTACACTGCTCTTACCATAACCTGAGAAGGTTTTTAGTAATGTCAGACAGAACAAGAAGTTCTGCTTAAATGTTCCATAAAAAAAACTCCTACTGCAACGTGAAACTTAATCTAATTTTGCCAAGCCTGATCCACAAGTGCCCTTTAAGGTGTTTGCCAATATTCTGTCAACGAAATCATCTTTTATTTCTTCATACCAAAACATATCAATACTTAGACATTTTTGAAGTCTCTTTAGGAAGCAGCATGAACTGTAACAGAACAACCACAAATGTTAATCCACTTCCATAAGTTTTAAGGCAATGAAAATATTCTCAGAATTTCTAGATATGCAAAACTACAATATACCTAATTTTACATTAAGATAACTAAGACTAATCTTTATTCTCTATATTCTTTTGTACCAATTCTACACATATTTATTTATAAGTGCATTTATATTCTTTCCTTGACACAGGCATCTATGTGTGCTTTATCACACTAATCTGAAACTAATTCAGTCATCTTTTTGATTAATACAGCCTTTAAAAGCTGAAATAATAACAATATTATGGCTCACAAACATTAGCACTTTCCTGTTTGGCCAGAGAAGAATTAATTAACCTGCTCCATTTTTACCCCCTAATTATCGTGCTCTGTTAATACCCCGTTATTTATAAAACCAAAACAACATTCGGCCTCAACGCTAACAAAAATATTTGCAGTGCAAGAGCTGTAAAGACAACTCCCCAAGTACCCCTTGCTATTTTCCTAACCCTACACACCGAGGCCTTAATGGCCATGCTGGGAATTTGTCCTGAGCTGACAGCAGAGCTGCAGAGCAGCTGCTCTGAACCCCTGCCTGACGCAAGTTTCATTTGCAGACCAACACTTCTCTCTTAACCCTTTCCCTCCAGCTTTTCTGTGCTTGTCTGGGGGAAAAACCACCACATTTATTCACAGCAGCCATTCCCCAGCTGTGTGAAGTGTGGCCTGGGGGAGCTGGTAGCTTCTGCAGGGATGTTGGGAGGGAGGGATGCTCACAGGGATGCTGGGAGAGATGCTCACAGAGATTTGGGAGGGATGCTAGCAGGGATGCTCACAGGGATGCTCACAGGGATTTGGGAGGGATGCTCACAGGGATACTAGCAGGGATGCTACAGCCACCTTCTCCTCCTCACCCCATGTTATCCCAGCTCAATATTTGGATTTCAGGCAGAGCAGAGATACAGGAGTGGTGTTGGGAGCACAGGCCTCTGAATGAAAGATTAAAGAGATGAATAATACTAAGCTATTGGACATGACAGCTGAACTATGTAATTCAAGAACTGCCTTGCTCAATTAAATTTAATGTATTCTCAATTTGTACCTTCAGTTTATATGAATATATAAGGAAATATGAATTTTTCAGGACGTTCTTAGTGACAGAAGGGAAGCCTCGAGAATGGATCCTATTGAACCTACAAGGGACCTCTGTTGAGCTGAAAACAAATCTCCACAACCAAAAGCAGACACAGAGAATGTCATTTACCTCTAGAATCTGATCACCAGCCCAAAGTCTGCCATCTCGGGCTGCTGCTCCTTCTTCATAAACTTCATGGATCACTATGGCATCCTGTGGGAAGAAGGCAGTGCCATGAACCCTGCTTCCCACACACCCCCAAACTGGCCACCACGACCCACCCCACACTCCCCACCAGCTCCACAGTTCAAAGTACAGCACTCCAAGCCAGGAGAAGCAAGACTGTAACACAGATCTTTCAACATTTTCAGTATTTTGAGATAAGAAAGTGACTCCCGTTATCAAAAGCTGGTATAAAGGTACAAAGGATTTTGTTCTCCACTTCTTTCTAGAGCTTCTTCCATCATTTTTATACATTGGCATCAGCAGCACGTGAACTCAGTGTGAACTGTTGTATTAATATCGTCTACTTTTAATGATATTATTTAAAACCAGATTCTTTGGAGCTATGAATATTTTTAGGGACTTGGCATAGACCTCGGCTTTGAGCAAGAGCTGAATGCCTTGTGGTAAATAGCACTGGTTAAATCTGTAAGAAATGAAATCCAGAAGAAAGGAACAATGGCAAATGTTAGTTTATTACTGAGGTTGGAAAATGTAGGCAGTGGCAGATGTAGCTTCAGGGAAGGTTTCAGTGATTTAATCTTATTGCCAGCAATAGCTGTCCCCAAAGAAAAAGCATTACAAAGAACATACTGTTCTCTTGCTGGTGCTTTCCCTTTGCATTGTTCTGGTTTGTTTCTTTTTTCTTCTTTCCTTTTTCCTTGAAAAAATATAGGTGAACATCCTGCTACAGTTCTTCAGCTTGCAGGATGGGATGCTGCAGTGTGCAAAACCTGCTCCTCTCCTCAGCAGCACCAGCAAACCTTCATCCTCAGAGCTGAGCCACCAGTGCTGGCTCTGGGCAGACACCTGGTGACTTTTAATTACACACGAAGGTTCTGGGTAACCCAATCTCAAATACACCCTGCAGAAATGCTGCTGTGAGCTCCCCAACAGGATGTACCAGCCGGAGAGGAGCTTTCCCACAGTGCCCCCAGGAAAAGCTGGGGAGGTTGGAGCGTGCAAACCCCTCTGTGTGATGGGTTCTTGGAGCAGGGGCAGGGAATTGCTGCTGGGCTGGGAAAAGGTGTCTCCATGCTTGGAGAACACTGGAAACCACATCTCTCATCACCAACCCATCCCCTGCCCGTGCTCACTCATGATCCTCTCCCGGCACAGACACAAAACTCAAATTTCCCTTCAGGTAACGCTCAGATCACAACACTGAGAGCACCATTCCCTTCACAACTTATTTCAGGATGGGGACTTGCTGGAGCACAGCACCACTGCCACAGGTTCCCTCTGATCCACGGACACCAGTCCCTGAAAAAAGCCTGGAGGATTGCAAGCACAAATGGATTACAGCTGATACAAGAGTCCCAGATGGGGGAAAAGAGATTTCAATCTGCATAAATGGAGGAGAAACACTATGAGCTGTGTACCAAGTAATTAAGAAAATCAAAAGAGTGGTTTCATTAAAAAAGAAAATAAAATATAGATATAGATACACACCACTGGCAACTACAGATTTTTTTTTTTTAGCAGTAACTGAAGCAATAAATACTAAAAGACCAGAGCAACACAGGCACATCCATCTTCTCCCTGTTGTGGGGTTTGGGTTATTGTGGGGTTTTGCTTTGTTGGTTTGGGGTTGAGGTATTTTTTCACCTTTGTTTTACAAATGATAGTGTTATTCCAAAGCAATGAAAGAGACTTTAGCCTGGGAGAAGTGGCCAGTGAGAGAACAGCTTGAGAGGGAGCATCATCCACCTGGGACACACCAGGGAAGGGTTACCAGGAAGTTTGGTAGAAAACTGGCAGTGTGACCATGGAATAGCACATTGGGCACGTACACAGGATGGTCAAATTAAACCTTTTCAGACTGCATTTAATCTCATATTTCCTAACCTCTGAGCAAGAGCCTTTCAATCACATTTCTCTAAGACTGCTTTCCATCTGTGGTTGCTTTTAAAACATCCACCAACCTGGAGTCACCAGCTTTTCCCAGCACTGCTTTATTAAATGTAAAACTGCACATACCAGAGGCTCAGACCCAGGAACCACTGAGTGTTATCAGTTTGGATAATCTGCATCATCTATTTGAAAAGGCAACACTTCAGTGTTACACTGTGGTTCCTGCATGTGTGAGAAGCCAGATCCAGGACTAAAAATACACATGGCATGAAAAGGTACATTCCTGCTTGCCCTGTGCCTACCCTGCAGAAGGAAACATCTTGCTGACTTGCCAAAACACTGTTTTTCTTAAGCAGGGATTTTTTTTTTTTTTTAAAGTAGTGTAGCTGAACCAGGCTTATCAAATCGATTAAAAACAGAACAGAGCAACATGTCCATGATGCACTGTAAAGATTTCTAAACAGTCCATAAGCATAAATGTCAGTTTTAGTTTTCCTTAGCTTATGAACCATGGCAAACATCTCTTTTTCTCTGACACTCCTGGGATCAGCTCAAAGTGCTTAACCCAGAAGTAATTTTTTTTTCACTGGATCTAGTGGGATCTGGATAAGACTCTGTTAGTTTTGATCATCCAGGACAAATCACTAAAAACAAACTACTGATGTTAGTGAACATTTTAAATCATATCAGTATTTTAAAGGAGTTTGTGCAGTGATGAGATGTCATACTCCAGCCATCTAACCCAGCCCCAAGCTGTAATGACTCTATCAACAGGCATGGATTGAAGCTGAACACCCCTCTCAGCCCCTCAGAAAAAAAACAGAATCTATTATGACTAAAACAATACATTTATTTAAAAGATAGCTTTTGGTTTCTGGACATCTGCAGCTCCTGCTCAAATTAAATATCTGCTTGATATCAAAGCCTACGTAGTTCAAAATCAATCAGTCAAGAAGGATGAAGGGAAAGTGGTGTCAATGTTCAGCTAGAGGTTGTGAATTCATGGTGGCTCTGGACAGATTTTCCCATCCCTCCCCACCTCCTTTCACCACCACTTTCATATAGATTATGGCTCTCCATGGTTCGAGCTTGGCAGAGTCACAAAAACTGTTCGTGCAGAAGGGGAAATAAAAACACTCCCATATCAAGAACACACTTGTTTAAAAAAAGATACCCAGCTGCTGAAAGCACATACTTCATAAAGTTTACAAATCTATTCAACAAACTGGGGCTTTAATCTTTGTATATTTTGACAAAGAACAGTCTGAGACCATTACACAAATGGGGAATTAATGCAGAGCTGAGCAGCTCTTGCCTGGGATGGAAGGATGTGGAATATGAGCTGGGCCATACAAACAGTATTTCTCCATGCTAAACAAAGTCCAGGCTGGCAGGTGTAAACTGAGACTGTCCAACCATGAAAACACTGAAAGAAAGACAGACATGAAGGGAATTTCTCTGCTACTGCAGAGATTACCATCCTGGGCTCCAAAATGTTTGGATGGGAGGGTCTGAAGCCCAAGGAAATGAAGCTGAATGCACTGACACAAAAATCACCTGCAGGCCAGAATGGTTCCCAAACATGGCAACAGCACAGCTGGTTGGGATATGATGTGCCCCAAACCTGTTAAGAAGCAGAAATGGTCACCAAACCTGCCAGAGGGAGAAGGTGTTTTGTAGAGTCCAGACTTGAGCTGTGGGACAGCTACACCCCTCACCAGCAGAGTATTGCTCTGACTGAGAATATCACTGTGACTGCAGCTGTGGAGCAGAGGGGACGCACAGCAGTGAGAAAATGAGGGTTTGGCTGTGGGAGTAAAGGCAGAGAAGCAGGAGAAGCTCAGGGAGCCTCTTGGTCAACACCTCAAAGAGCAAAGCTGGTGCAGAGTGAATACACAGTGAGGGCAAGGTGCCTGACAAAAATTAGCACCTACCTCTGGAAAATAAAGCTGGTACCATGTGCACAGCATGATCTGCACTGCATTGCCCTTCATCTGAGGAAGGGAAGAACCCTGAACTCGCAGGGAGTTGGATCTCAACTCCCCCCTCCCTGGGCTGTGGATATTTTTCTGCTTGATTTATAACGATTCAGAGACCCATGAGGGGAAGAATATCACACTCAGCCCTCAGCAAAGGGCACAAACAGACATGCTAACTCTGAGAATTAAATTCAGTCAGACTGACAGCTTAATCTTTGTATCTTAAATGTCAAGAGCTGGTATGGCAGAGACCTTAGGCAAGGACCACAGAGCACTGCCCTGGCTGAGCCTTTGGGAGGAAGGTGGTGAAGTCAGCATCCTGCTCAGGAAAATCAGTGACAAAGTGATCCTTAAAAGCCTGCAGGAGCATGAACCATGGTGAGAGAGTCTGCTGGCTTTGGGCTTGGACTGCTCACATGTTTCCTGCAAGTTTACAGCTCCTGAGCCAGTCTCTCCAGCGTTTCTTTTCTTCTGTGCAGCTGTTCTTCAGCAGGACAAGAAGCAGCTTTCAGCTGAAAAGTCACTGCAAAACAGCCCCCAGGCTGGCAATAGAGGGTGAGGGAGGAACAGAACATGCAGGAGGCACAAATATTAAGTACCAAAGGTGTCTGTGAAGTTGTCTCCTGGGATAAAGGTGGATCAGTGTGCAAAAGGGGCGATTCCAAAAGAAGTGGAGCAGAGAAATCTCCTTATTCCTGGTGTTGCATTGACAAAGAAAAATGTCCAGACTGTGGTGAAGAGTCTTCCTGCACAGCCCTGAACAGCCCTGCACTGCTGCAAGTCCTACTGCTTTAACTGGGCTGAGCTTTGCTTTGAGTCTGGCTTTGCTGAGCTGTTTCAGTCCAGGAGCTCCAGCCATTACCTGGACAGGATCAAAGACCCCTGACAGAAGGAACCACTCCCCACTGAGGACTGCAAAAATCAGCACAGAACAATTTTAGAATGAGCCACATAACCTCATATTTGGTGCAGGGAACGAAGCTTTCTGCATGGATCAGAGCACTTTTCTGAGGAAGATAAAAAGTAAACTACATGCAAAACCACGCTCTGGAAAAGATGTTTTTATGATTTAGCTGACAAGTTGTGTTTTCCTAAGCTAACATTACACATTTCCAACTAATTTCCTACATAGCTACAAATGTTACACTAAATTAGCAT